GTGTTTTTGTAGTACATAATAATTTTCATGTTACAAATAGACAAACCATGCTGATTTAAAGCAGAATACAACTAAAATTGTACTAAAAATTGTATCTTCTAACGTCAGAATGCAGTTTTCTCGTTCTGTCTACTTTGAGAAGCGAACCTATCAACAGTTGAAAATTTCTTCTACCACGTCTATTTTTTATATATCACCTCTCGAACATATGAGTTTACTATCGTTTGTAAATTAATTGGATCTGAGCTCTTTCAATTTCTTAAGTTGATTAGAAAAATGACAAATCATATACGATTTTCTTTATCTAAATCGAGAGGATTTCAATTACTACTGGAGACACATTTAAAAGGAAATTTTTTATCAAGATATTTTGCAAAAATACCCACTGCATCTTATTTGTATCTTTTTCTCGTATTTGTATTTTTAATATTAAGGCAAGATTGAGAATTCATCGTGTATAGCATACAAACAAATACATAAAATAACGAATACTTATATGTCAGCTTAATACTAATAAATTCTCACTATAAACGCAGTATATTTTCAGAAAAAAATATCATACGATGATGTTACGATTGAAATCATCTTCAATAAAAAAACAGAAGTTGATCATTAGTCTAGAATCATTTAACTTTTTCAGTATCTTGCCGATGTAGAAATCGACGTTTCTTTTTGGTTTAATTTAAAAATCGATACATATATTTAACATTTTGTGATGTATTTACTTTCGCAAAACCATGTGCATTATTGATGTAATATAATTGCAGTGCGCAAACTGTGATAAAAATGATACGAAAAAGAATATAAAACTAATGAAGCATGATTGAAAGCGAGCAGAACCGAATAAAAGAAAATCAACAAATATTTATAATCGCCGTCTACGCTGCACATTCTATTATTCATTTCAGATAAAAATACTGCAAGTGACTGATTATTTTAGAATTTTTCAAAAGAATATTTTCTTATATTATATAACTATTAATAATAATCATAATGAATATTAATTTATATATATTTCAATAGTTTCAATTTATATTAGTTAATGTTTTTTTGTATAAAAAGAATTCTCATAAAATTATCTTAAATATATATATTATTTTAAGACAAATTTATGTATGGATAATTATTTAAATGAATTTTGAAATCTATTTTAATAATTTAAAGCTCTAATAATATTTCTATTATTATATTTATTTATTACTATCATATCTATTTTTATTAATAAAATATATTGTATATTCAAAAGAAAGAGATTTTTATAAACTCTCTTTTAAACTGAAATCAACGGCAAAGTTAACAGTTTCTTGTAATGAAAACATTCAAATCTATATGAAATCTTATATGATTAGTAAAACTATTAATTCAAACAAAATCTAAGAGGATTAATATTTCCAATAAAGCACATTGTTGTACTAATAATTTTGTCTTATTGAATATAAACTGGAAGAAATTATTATCAAATAATTACTTCAATGAATAGTGAAAAATAAATTGTTACATGTGTTCTTATATGATATTATTCATAAAGACTAATAAATAACTTTAAAATGATTTTCTTAGTAATATTAAGTTATCTATTTTAATTTTGTAGGTGATAATATTACTCACTAGTGTGTCTACTTCTAATGTATTTTAAAAAAGAATACTGCTCTAGTAGATTAATACTACCAGTAACCGGAACATTTTCGTCATAGCAACATATTTGTGATTATATAAGGAATATTTACCTCTTAGTAAACGTATAATAAGCAGTTTCTTTCAACAATATATGATTCACGACATCTACTTTGTCTTTACAGATTCGACAAAGAATTCATTCTAATATTTTGTTTTTAAATTTATGAATTTGCTTGTAGATCATTTTATTTTTATTAAAAAAAATATATATAACTAGAGAATAACTATTTCTAATTTCGTAGACTACCGTAGGTATGTGTATCTATGTGTGATTTATATTTGAAGTTGAACTAGACAGTTACTCGTGTTGTATGTCTTCGTAAATAAATTTTCTAATTCAATAATAAAATATTGTTATATTTTTCTTTCGTTTAATTTTACAATATTTATTCGTAGTTCAAAGTATTCATAAAAATACACACAACAAAGAAAAGATTTTTTTTGAAAAAAAGGCAACGTAACAAAAGACAAAAAAAACAGGAAAAAGTCAACAAATTTAATTATTCAATTGAGTCTATAGAAAGTTTTTACATCTTGCACGGCTTAGACGACTGTTTTTCGATTATTTAATTTAAATTGATGTGCAATATTTTTATATACTTGAATAACAAACAATGGATGCGTCACATATACATGTGGATACTTAGAAAGAAAATGTTGAATATTATAAAATATAGATGGTTTCAAAATTTCAATATATATTTACTTCTTTTATGGTAATATACTACTGATCGAAATCTTTTCAATATTCGGTTGCATTTGTTTGTTGGAAAATATTTGAAGCGAACATCCATAATATATATTATTCGTTTCTGATAACAGCGTCGACAACTCATCTCCTTCATGCATGGGATGATCATTATTCAATTCCTATTTATATGAAGACTAAATTAGACCTTTTATTTATATATTTGTGAAAAGAAATTTAGCGTTTGTCAAAGTTATGAAACATTACGTGTCCAACGTCTCATGAATTAGTTTTTTGTATAAACCTGTTCAATATATTCCTTTGCTATACGAAGTTGTGTACCGAAGGTTTGTATTTGAATATCATCATCTGGTTGATGTTGACTAATAACAACAGAAAAAAATATGTAATAAATTAATTTGAAAAGAATACGTACATTTCTAAGTCGAGACCAATCTTTCCTATTCCAACTAAACGGGAATGACGTAAGGCACGACGCATATCTAATTCCAAAGATAATTAAAATGATAAGTGTAAAATAGATTTAATCCCAAAGTTCTATGTACAACATCGTGTTTAGAATAGCGTGCAAATACATTATTTCACTTATCTAAAACACACTTTCACTCAGAAATTGAAAAAAACAATATTCTTACCTTCCTTGAAATGGCATAGTCCAAAAAATGACTGAATAACATATTTCATGTCAATACCTTTGTTATAGATATTCGCGTTGTGGTCGATATATTGAATGGCTGGGAAAAGATCGAAAGAAAAAATGTTGAAACGGGAAATGACGGAGAAAAATATCGAAAAGCAAAATGTAGAAATGAAAGAGCGAATGAAGAAATATTGAATAAAATATGAAAATAGGCAAAGTATTCATCAATTAAAATATGAATAAGAAACAATCGCTGTGAATGTATATCAGATTTTAATAATTGAACAAATGTATTTCGTGCAAATTCTAGAGTATTTAAACAGATATTAGATTACAAATGCTCATAAATGTTTATAATCGACGCTGCGTCATCTTTTTTGTTTTTTAAGACTTAAAAATTGAAATGGTATTAGAAAACAAAGTTGCCATATTTGACATAACAGAAATTCTATCATTAAGTCCTTAATCATTGGTGACTTTTAATCGAAATCTTATTAATACGATATCGCTACTGAAGAAAAATCAACGAAAACTAAATCAATCACTGATTCACAATCAATGATTATGGACATTTGTTAACAGTGCATGGATTTACATGACTGCATCAGTTGAACGAAAAAATACATTTGATGATCCGAGCAAATCAGATTAGGGAATCAAACACATCAGAAAAGATAACACAGAATTAACCACTAATTCGCCTCAAAAAGATGATTTAAATGGGAATTAACCAATCGCGTTGCTTAATTCTGTTTTATCGTTTCGAATGTGTTTGATCCTAAGTATCTTTCAATCATCTTATTATACCGATCAATAACGATTAATTAATTTTTTCTTTTCGACGTTTTTCCTTTCGGTCTTTTTCCATCACACCGATATAATTACAAATGCTTTGATTAGGGCAATTCGTCCTAAATTTACAATTAAAATAGAATAAACTAAAGTGAACAAGGATTTTTATATTTACTTTAGAAAAAGCAGATCCAAATAACGATAAGCAACAGAATTATGCAAAACATAAGTATCATCATCATTTTTTAGTGCTATGATATTTTCTATCGTACGTATAATCTCGCCTTCTAGTTCTAATCGTGATAAATGTTGTGGAGTTTTCAGTAAACTATCTGTTGTATTTCTAAGCATAAAAAAAACAAGTAACGCTCATCTGAAGACTCGCTCAGCTCTTTCTCGTAGAAACGATATGTCTTCACTACCAACAAACTATTTAATCAAACAACTTCAAAAAACCGGCATCAGATTTGAGATACTCGACCTCGATAACCCTCATGAAAAAAGGTTTTTGTAAAAAAAGTACTTCTTTGTGTAAAAATATGATCCTTTAAAAATTTTGAAAAACTAATAACAACAGATTCGAGTTCTTCGACACCGATTAGTCTTCGGTCAACCCTTATAAAAAGAAAATTCCTTTTATATCTTTACCTAGTGTTTAGATCAATCAGCGAAGAGCGAACCCACAAGCAAGCAAGCAGACAATTTATGTTTGCATGACTCTTCTCTACAAGAAAGTGGATAACAATTCAAACAGAATGTTTTTTATCTTTCATCCATATTTGTAAAGCTTGATACAAAAATTTTGAGAGTGTGGGTGTGGATGTGAATGTGAGATAGAAATAATACTCATACCCACATCCGGTACTTAGAAAAATGAATGTTTTTCTTTATCCAGTCATTTGAATAATAAATATAACAACAGAATCGTTTTGCAGTTCTCTTTATAACTACTGTTTCTTTTTGTTGAGAGATGTCTCACTTAAATTCAATGACGGTTTATCAACATAAATAAAAACCAATAAATATATTAACTTGATTTCTAAACTGTGAATATGCCTGAAGTCGAAAAATACATAAGAAAATATTAAGATTTTTATTTTAAAATGATTAAGAAATTTTTTTGATTAATAAAAAAAAATAAGTGAAATTTGTGTTAAAATCTAATGTTCAACACAAATAAAATTAACCAGTCTGAATTCTGTTATTATTAATATCTCTTGCAGCAATACCTAAGAAATAAACTTGATCGGGAAGTTTGTCGGATAAAACTTGCAGATCATATTTATTTCTCCAAAATAATGAAGAAACTCTTTTATGAAATTTAGCTAAAACTTGTTTATTCGATTGATCAATAAATGTTGTATCTAATGATGCAGTTTTTCCTTCCATTGAAATTTCAGTATTATTGTACTTAATGGTAAATTTATTTCCAACAATTTTAAAATTTTGTTCAATTGTTCCATTTATCCATTCATTAGAATTTTTATTAAAAATCGCAATTGTTCCTTTGTATAGAACAAAACTTAATTTAGCTTTTAATAAAGCTATAGGGTTTTGTTTTTTGTTTAAACCTTTAAATATTCTAATATTATGTAGTACAGCGAATTTTGATTCCATTCGAAATAAAGTAATTTTACCTTGGTTATCATAAACTGTAAATTCTCCAGTTTTAATCATATCACTCATAAGATCTTTTTTTATAAGATAAGTACGATTTGTTCCCAAACAATAGCTATCTTTAATTAAAACAATTAATAATAATATTCCAATTGTTTTATACATTATTTATCTAAAAAGATAAACAAATCAAATATATATATTTTTTAGAACACAACAATTGTTTTAACTGATCAAAATTCACTCTAAATATATACATAAGTATGATATTAACTAATAAAACTTTTTAAACTAATCTAAACAAGGAAGATCAATGATGAAGTTATCGAAGTGATAGCAATTCATATCTGATTCACGAAATTATTTATTGGTTCTATGAGAAATCAAGAATCGAAAAAGGTATATATGATTTTGTTTTAATAGTTTTCATTCTTATCTTATCATACATAGATGTATTTCATTTCATTTTATTTTATTATTTCAATATATATTAATTGATAAGAGAATAAACCTTGAATTTGATTCCACACAACAATTATTATCTTTGGACTTTGTACGATATATTTTATTATTTGACTTAGAACAATAAGTATACATTAAAACTTTAAGGATGTGAGTGTGGGTATATCTTAGTTATCTCACCCATACCCACATCCACCTTCAAGATGTTGTTTTTCTATTATATTGGTAAAGGGAAGAAAATAAAAAAAATATTTAAAATTTATTATAAAAAAATCACAATTAAACGATTATTTAAAGATAACAATAAAATTAAATGAATCAATATTCAATTGAAATTCAATATTTAACAATAGAAAATAATTCAAATGATTTTATAAAAATATTTTGGTTCTGTTCGAAATGTTCCATGAGGGAGCAATTAGTAAAGTTTCAATGAACAAATATGATGAAAACGAATTGTCTGATACTCGATGACTATGAGATTTGTAATGAGTAAAACGAGGGTGTGGGTGTTGAATGGATACAATACTAAAATTCATATCCGCATGAATATCCACACTTTACTAGAAAGTATCTGAAGAAATCATAATTATAGCAAATTTATATAAATATTTAGATTCACAGAGTTAAAAGTAAATTTAATAATTACAATGTAATTTGAAATATTGATCAGTAAGTAATAGAATAACAGATGAGGCATACTAAAGAAGCAAACAACAAAATAAAAACATAGAAATATTCAAGAGAACTTCGCAAATTACAAGCTTCTTCAATCTGCTGATTTTTCTCTACAATATTTATGAAAATACAAATGGTAAAATTTACTAAGCACAATAATTTGAGATAAGATAAAAATTATGAGAGGTTAGACATTTTTCTTTTAGGAATTCTACGTGCACAACATTCGCACATGTTTAAAACAATATCTATAGAACTAGACTCAGGATTTGCAATGATTATGTCTTGATAAGTATCATCATTAAAATCATAAACACCAGTATTAAATCCATAACTGATCAGTTTATCCGAGAAATTGCTTTGCGTCTCAAAATGACCGTCTCCATATCCAACAAGCATATCTGTACCATATGACACACCCATGACAGCAATGTCTAAATGATCATCACAGTTAAAATCACCTACAACCATACGTTTTATGTTGTCAGATTTTATAATAAATTTCTCTTTGACGGTGAAAAATCCATTTCTATATTTAGACAATACAGCGACTAGACGTGTGAAGTCCTGAGCGATAACGACGTCTTGTTGAGTATCACCGTCAAAATCACCGCTAACAATATGGTTTGGATAAAAACCCATGAAAGTAAAAGATCGCTTTTGTATTTCAAAAGTTCCATTGCCGCATCCAAGAAATATGCCAACATTCAGCGCTCTACTATTAGCGACAGCAATATCTACGTGTCCATCACTATTAAAGTCACTGACAGTTACTGACTCAGGTTTACTATACTGTCCAGTGGAAAATATCAGATACGATGACAAAGTGTCGTTGGCATTTCCGAGAAACATGCAAACATTAGAACTCTCAGTATTAATGACAGCAATATCTGAATTGTTGTCATGGTTGAAGTCGGCTACAATGATGTCGTCGGGAATGCATTCCCTTGTCTCTAATTTTTTATCCAGTACTTTAAACGTTCCGTTCCCATTTCCAAAAAGAATGTTTACATAGTCTAAACCTCCATAGGTAAATACGAGATCGGCTCGATTATCATTATTGAAATCACCAACTTTCATAATGTTCACATAGCCAAAACGTTTTTTTGGAAAAATTTTTTCTGCTGTAAAAGTTACGTTCTCATTTCCACGCAGTATTATCACACTTTCGTCATAGTTACAAAAAACCACAATATCAGGTCGACTATCATTGTTGAAGTCAGCAACAGCAAATGATCGTACATAAAGTGGAACATCAGATATATTTATTGATGTTAGTTGAAAATTTAACTTGGAACATGGCACTAATGAAAAGAAAATGATGAATTACTCGTCCGTATATTTAGATTAAAAGTATCTGGAAATAGATTTATGTAAGCTAATATTAAAACAGCTATTACATTTTCAAGTCAAAATATAGAAGAGAATTTCTCCAAACTGTATGATCAGCCGGAAAAAATACGATCATTTGTTTTTCTAATCGAGGTGAAAATCCTTGTTAAAATTTAATTCGTCAACAGATTTAAGAAACAGTTTCGTTTACTCATTATAGAGACAAAACATATAGTGTTGTCCACACTAGTTAGAAAATTCGAGTGATTCTAGGTGACTCTATAGCTAAAAGATACCCACTGAGTTTTGGAACAATAACTTCTTTTCTTGTATAATCAAACTATAAGAACTGAAGTCCGTCAATTTTCTACTTTAATTCACTGACCTGTTGTGCTTGTTAATGTTGATGTTGTTGTGTTTATTGTTGAGTTCGAATTAGTAGTATCATTTGTCGTACTGGTCGACGGAACTAGTAAAAACATATTTCATAAGTATTCTTTTAAAAACTTTAATTGGTGAAATATGAAGAAAATTCAACGGAAAATGACATATAAAAGTACAGTTTATATCTTGAGGTTGTGGTTGATTTTTCTTTGATAAATCACATCCACACTCTGATCCACCCTTGGTGAGGGAATCCCATTCTTACCTTCTCGTGCGACATAAAATGAAAAAATAGTTAGAACTGCTATGATCGACATCAATAGTAGACATCTGAAGAGGACCTTCCAAGAACATTGAATTGATGTAGTAGCAATTGTTCTAATAACGAGATATTTCAGATTACAATTTGAATGAACACAACAGAAAGAAAAACATACCGAGATGTTATAGGTGTTGATCTTGATTCTAAATTACATGCAGGATTATGTATGGTTGTGCTAAGAGTAACATTCGGTGTAATTTCAAGAGAATTGACAGGATAAATCGTATTCATTCGTTTTTTTCGATAATCATTCACTTTAGATGCGATTCGAACTATTTTAGGACACATCCATTTAAGAACAATTGATAAACCACCTTGAAGACCAAGTAAGACAGTTATTGTATAGATAGAGCTGCTTTTTTTTGAATATAAGTATATGAACAATACAATGGAGAACATTCATGAAAATAAGATGAATAATTCATCTTTGTCGCCCATCTTTCTATGAATAGATTATCGATAAGCTCAGCTGTTGTAGTGTTTATTGAGAAACGACTCGTCATGTTCAAGACAGGATTATGAGATCTCGTATAATTAGTATATTGATGAATAAGATCAATACATGAACGATCATAAAAACATTCAAGAGTCGAAGCACGAAATGATTCGCTTGGAGTACAACCTATTTTCAAGCCTTTGACGGCTTGTCCGCGTAACGGTCACCCTAGGTGATTAAAGTAGAAGTCGATAATTTTAAAAAATGGTTTATGCCATTTTGTAGAGCACACTTTTGTGTATATGAAAATGTATTTCATTTCCTTTTCAAGTACCAAAAATCAAAAAAAAAATGGCCGGACATTAGTGACACCTTTCTGATATAAATATCGTCATATTTATCTCATTGCAAAAAAATCTAAAAAATTAACTTGAGAAAAGCTATAGATTAAAGTGTACTATGTGTTTTCGATCTTTAAGGTTTGGGTCACTACTTGTTATGAATAATATCCACTGCAGTATTGATGGTAGAAAATATGGAGCTTTACGAGTTCAATAAATTCTAAGAGTGAGTGTGTTACCAAAACATGCTTGTTGTTTTTATAGCACACGAACAGCTCGAGTATTTTAATTGAAACTTATACAATGTTGTTAACTTTCAATGGGCTATCTAAAGACCCTATTTGCTATAGCTTATCTCTTCTAGGTGGGGAGAAAATGGTAACGCACTCACGCGATCATCATATTTTCATATTATTGAATTTTAGATTTTATAAGAAATTAAATCATTATTTATTGTTTAAAGTATTTTTTCATATTTGGTATATTATTTACAATATAATGGCTTTAACATCTGCTGAAAAACAAAAGCGTTATCGTGAAAATTTGAAGGCAAAGGGATTGTATAAAACAATGAAGGAGCAAAATGCTACACGTATGAAAAAATTTCGTCATGCTTTGACTAATGAAGAAAAAGTGAAATACAATAAAAAACATTCCCTGACACAAAAAAAATATCGTGATCAAAAGAAACTCGAGTCGGAGTATGACCTATTTTCTACTAGTCATATTTTATAAAAATCTATTTCTGTTTAGAAATTCTTTTTCATCAAAACAATCACTTGGTAAAGCACTAAAAAAAGTAACAAAAGTTCTTCCACGAGACATTGGTAAAAAGAAATTGGTAATCCGTTCACTTGCTCAAACAATTGGTATTTTGCCTCGTCATACTCATCAACGTATTACAAGAAAAATTTCAACAGAAACTCAAGATAATATTACTGCATTTTATTGTCGTGATGACGTATCATATCAGATGCCAGGCAAACGTGATACAATTGTTATCAAAGAAAACGGAAATAAAAGTGTTTATCAAAAACGAATTTTGTTGTATAATATTCGAGAAGCATTTGAATTGTTTCTTGCTGAAAATCCTGGTAAAATGTTCTTATGCATATTTTAATAATATTTTAATTATTTTTAAGGTATTTCTATTGCTCGAACTACTTTTGCTGAAATGCGACCTCAACATGTTGTAGTAAAATCTTCAATGGCACATCGTATATGCGTGTGTGTATATCATGAAAATATTAGTTTACTTCTTAGTAGTTTATCTAAACATATAAATGGATCTTCATGCTCAGATCTACGTTCATTTACATCGGCACTTGTTTGTGATGATTCATGTTATGAATGTATGGCATCAAAATGTTCTTCTTGTAAAAATTATTTTAATTTACATATCACTAATAATATTGTTGATCCAACTGTTCATATCACATGGTATCAATGGAAACATATTAATGGTTATGCCAAAAAAGAGGAGCAAAGCGGAACAGTTGAACAATGTGTTAAATTATTATTTTCACAAGTGGAATCATTTTTATTACATGTTTTTATAAAACGCCAGCAAAGTGCTTATTTTGAAGAATCAAAATCAACATCTGATGATACAAAGATTGTAGTGCAAGTAGATTTTAGTGAAAACTACAGTATAAAGGAACAAGATGAAATTCAATCTGCTCACTGGAGTTCTAAATCTATTTCCATATTCACGGCTTATGCTTGGTGTGGATCAAATAACTTTTCATTTGCATTGGCTTCTGATAATATTAACCATGATAAGTTTTTTGTTAGTTGCTGTATCAAGTACATTGTCGAAAAATTGAAACAAGAATTGCCAATGCTAGAGGAAATTTCATTCTTTAGTGACGGCGCGGGCAGTCAATTCAAACAGCGATTTTTATTCAGGAATTTGACACAAATGTCAAATTATTATAATTTAAATTTTTCGTGGCATTTCTTTGCCACAAGTCATGGGAAGGGTGTGGTCGATGGTTTAGGCGGTACAGTTAAGAGAATTGTCTGGTTACAAGTCTTAACAAATAAAGTGAGATGTGAAAATGCATCAGATTTCATAAATATTGCAAAGACAAAAACGAGAGTTATCATTCTCGATGAAATTACTCAACAACATATTGATTTATCGAAAACACAATTAGAATATTTGTTTCAAAATACTGTTGCTGTTAAAGATACTCAAAAATTACATAGTGTTCATGTTATACGAACAGATGTAATTGAATGTCGATTATATGATTATTCGACTGCTAAATGGACAGTTTTCTTTTAGTCTCATGAAGAAAAAAACATGTAGTAAACTGTTTGGTTGTATTATGTATTTTTTGTGAAATTTATATTATACTATATTTTATACTTTTTTTGTTCCACTCTTGTTACTTATTTGTCCTTTATTATATGACTAAACTCGAAGATTTTGATAATAAAGAAAAAAAAGAAATGATATTCTATATTGTCTATATAAAAAAAAGTTCATAGATACAGAGCAAAAAAAAAGTTAGAATAAAGTATGAGTGCGTTACCAAAATTGTGAGTGCGTTACCATGATATATCATCTATAATTTCTGGGAAACACAACAAGTATTAGAACTTTTTTTTTCCAATGAAGAGCTTCAACTAACCTCTGTAAACTACACTGGGTTCGGTATGTTCTTGATGTTAACGTTCGCAAGAATTTAAGATTTTCTCTTGATACCCACATCAACAAGGGCCTTTTTTGTGAGTGCGTTTTCGACGTGTATTTTTATTATAAAAAATAAACAATAAAGCCTATTTCTCTGAGTCTCACACAACTTCAAGTACTCTGTGACCTACATATGTTATCAAGTTTTCAAGCGTCAGCGCTTAACTATTATGGAGAAAATTAAGCCACAAGTTGTCAAAAACGTGAGTGCGTTACCTGCGGACAGGCCGTTGACTGGAAACAGTTTAGATGAATTTGATTCGATAAAATTTGCTTGACTTGTACAATTTAGATACATTCCACAAGAACATCCATCATATATTATAGCTCGAGTAGATGCATATGTATATTTAGATGCATTCGGATCACCAATATATTCGAAATTTGTTCCATATATTGACATGTAAGCATTTCCATGATTGATATTTCGAATTAAGAAGAGATATCGACGGAATGTAGTAGGAGCATTTGATTTAGTTTGTTCGATTAACGAATTAAGTTGATCACCAAATTTTTTTTCAGATAGAAGTTGAGAAGTAACAAACAGTGAAGTACGAAACTGGTTAATAGAATCGTATACTGCTGTATTAGAGAGTTGACATAATCCTTGAAGAGCTTGTAAATGAGCAGAAAGAAAACGACGATAGTCTCTTGTTACATAAATCGACAAGTTAGAAATAAGACCAGCTATAAGATCATTTCGGTATTGCTTTGTTGCAAATGGGCTTGAACAAATCTATCAATAACAAAAGAGAAAAACTCTATTTTGAACTTTCATATAAAGCGTCCACAACAAAATTCTCACAAAATAAACAATAGAGACGAAGAGAAAAACCGCCACTATATCGATTATCATTTATATTTAGCAGATTAGTATAATCTTATCTTACCTCATGAAATATTGGTTCAATTTTGACAAATTGATCATAAATCGATGCAATCACTGAACATGGACATTTTAATTTATCTCCATATTTCTGTTGTAAATCATTGTAAATACTAAAAGATGATGTATCAAAAGTTTTTGTCACTACATGTGGTTGAACTATAGTATAGATGGTGAGAATACTAAAACCACTAATAAGTAAAGCAATGTACAGACGGGTCGCCCATTGGCCAAGGCGTTTAGCTGTTATCACATCCATGCTACTACCCATATCACGCAATGAGAATATGTTCAGGCCCATAAAAGTGGTACGCAAAAGTTTGATCAGGCTTTGCAAGATCATTCTGAATCGTTCGCACCAATTTCGATGAACTATACATACAAAAACAAAGTATACACTTTACTATTTCTCAACCGAAACAAATGGCTGAAACAAATTTAAATTCTTTTCGATTTCCTAACAATCTCAAGATATATCTCTTCTTACTTTTCTCCTCATTTGACACAAACTATATCACATAAAACATAAATCGTTGCTTTATAAATATATTTACTCCGTATTTTTTTTTTTATAGATATCTAATCAATGATTACCTTAGTGTTCTTGTTGTTCTTGTTGTTTTTGTTTTCTTTTACGTATCATTGCCCATAATTTGGAAATAAATTTGACAAAATGAGGAGTGATAAGACGTAGAGAAACAGCAAGACCACCGATCGTGGACAACAACGTTATAAGTATATCCACAATAGTCTTTGAACGAATTTTCTGATGATAAGTACAATACTTTGGTGCACATGATTCGTAAAACCGTTCATACGACCAAGATGAATTCCATTGTTCCAGCATCATTTCTTTAAAGATAATTGATATTAAAGTATTTGGAGGAAAACGATTCCGTGTTGGATCATAAACAAGAGCATGTAGATCAAGCGCGGATCTATTTGATTCAAATGTCGGGTTGAACAATGATGTATAAATCAGTAGTCTTGCAAAACAATCTGAATTTAATTCTGGATATAGACATTGCAGAGTCGATTGTAGAAGTAAGTCACTATTAAGACAGCCTCTGATAAAACCTGGTATTTTATAAATAACATTAGTGTCATCATAAGAAATAACACTAGGGTTATTGCCGTAAATGACGGCTTCAGTTTGACAATCAGGATTAGTGGCACAGATACAGCTGATCGATGTTGAATTTATTTGTTTGATTTCATGCAAAATAAATGATAACTAGAAAAATAAAAAAAAATTCATGTTATATTAGCAATCAATATTGAGTGATTAATATTCTTCTATTTTAATAATGAAAAGCTTTCCAAGAAAAAAATCCATAAGAACATTTTTCGTTTAAAAAAATTCTGAAAAGTATATTAACGATTATATACAATGTATAGATGAATATATTCTAGAACAGCGGCCTGCTAGAAACTATGTCCATTTTGGTAGATATTATAGGTACGCTACAAATGTCAAGAGTGGGTGTGGGTGTCGGTTTAAGTCTTTGTTACCGTAGTAAGATCCACCCACACCCACCTACACCCTCATGTTTTAACTGTGCTCAATTTTGCTTGCTTCTGTTATTATGTTCGATGATATACTATCATTCATAAACGGCAATAGAACATTTTATTATTTTGAATATTAACATACCGGTACTGAATGTTGATTGCTCTTTTCATTTCCTATGTCGTTCATGATTAAATTATAAACATAGACAAGCTCATGATGCACAGTTGGTCTCATATAAGGCTGATCGATCTGTGTAAAAAGACGCACAATGTCGTTCTGAAGAGTAAAGTAAAAAATTGTCGATTGATACAACTGCTCAAGTGTTACATTTAGTTGATTATTGAAATCATTTTGATCGAACACAGTTGAAGCGATAAAGAACTCCGTCAAAAAACGGTCAATAGCATCATGAATCGTTTTATTAGCTAGTTGGCAAAGATTGGACAACAATTGAAACTGTGACGAAGCCTGCAATCGCCAATCATTATGAAGCTCCAGAATTACGTGTGAATCCCATAACGAAATCCAATTATCATTGATAAAAATACTTGAACATACTTGATGAAAGGCTGAAGATAATGAAACGAATGAACGATACGAGATTGTTTGAGTTGAACAAGGACAAGTGAGTGTGGCGACGTATAAAATCTGTAAGTTTTTATAAGTATTAAATGGCGGATTTGAAATAGTCCTTGTAACTATTTGAGTATTCAATGTAGTGAAGAGAAGAAGAATAATAATTGAGCCTAATGAAAAAAAAAATAAAGCAATGAATATGTTATTATAGATATCTTCTCGGTAGGAAGATCGTGAAGAGCATTGAACAATAGAAATTTATCATTTATTATTGATGAAAGACATTAAATGAGGGATTTGAGAAGTTTACTAACATACATTTTGACTAAGATATTTAATCTCTTCTATTTGAGATCTCGTAATCTCATTGAGAAAATCAAATATTCAACTATTGATAAGAGAAATAGCCTATGTATGTATTCGGCAAAAAACAAAGTTATGTACAGTAAAAAATATAACTATACCAGTTAGTAAAATCAAAAAGACATATGTGGTAATCTTTTGTTGTTTAATACTGTTTTCTGTTCGATCATTGGCCTTCTTGAATAAGTTTAACCGTTTCATCGATTGAGTAAATCTAGTCAAACGCATGTTTTGACGTGCTATGAATTAAATATAAAATTTATTTACAATAAGACATTTTTATTTATTTCAAAACATACCCAAATTCACATTCGTATTTCTTAAACGATATCTCATTTTCGATAAGATATTCACTATAAACGATGCCAGTAAACGAAGTATCATAACGAGACCACCATAGAGACTAATGAAAAGAGCGATTCCATAAATGAATTTAGCTCGATATGTCGTCGTATATGTGCAGAATGAAGGGTGGCATTGATCAAAATACTTTGGGTAATTTATTTTTGTTGACCATTCTTCAATCAAGAGATTATTCAAATGATCATTAAAAGAAAGATTTTGTTGTTTTGAAGTTAGAATAGAGTTGGCCCAATTGATGTGCGACTAAATAAAACGAATATATATGCAAATTAAGATAGTCTCATACATACATCGTTCAGAGATGGAAAATAATTGAATAATAATTTCAAACATTCGATTTCATACAAACAATCGAGTGTACTTCGAAGAAGAGCTTCAAGCGGAGTGCATTCTGCGAAAAATCCACTGACAACTGTAGAATTTGACAGATCTTTGAAGTTAATATTGAGATAACTAGAATCAGACTCATATAGTACTGGACTAAGAATAGCCGCATCAATTGGATTATCTCTGCTACAGGACAATTTGCTTCCATTTATAAAACTGTACTTCGTTGAATATAACGATGGAACCGGATTCACGCTAAAATGGGAGCGTAGTTCAACCATTAAATTTGTATTAAGAGCTGAAATTAAATAGTTTTCTCGAATAGTTGATCGAAAATAGTCGAAGAACATAATCATTCAAGCAGATGCACTTTTCTTAAAAGATTCAATGATGACATTTACTTCGTGTTCAACTTGTGTATCAGGAAGAAGATAAATAGTAACAAATTCGTTACTACTGACATCATTTTCAGTATGATTAACTATGTCTTGAGCCAATGAACAAAAACTGGACAAAATTTCAAACTAAATAAAAACAAAATTAATCTTGAGAGTGAGTGTAGGAATGAAGGAAGGGTGAGAATGAGATGAGCGTGTGCCTAAATTCATCTTTTCTGGACACAGTATTTAGCCTCTTAATATACAGTATTTCTTGTTTTTGAATGAGGTAAATTCTTTTGTTTGTCCTCATATAATATAAATCAATTCTGAAACTAGAATACTAAATCTCTTATGAAGAAATGTGCGACAATCAGCTCAATAATTGTTTTTGAGTAACTAATATTAACTTACCTGAGAACTAGCTGTTGTTCGAAAATCCGATACTCCATATCGACTTGCATTCGATAAATATAATGCATGAATCCATTCTTGACTAACGAAACGACTTGAACAAACAGGATGAATTTTGATTGTATTGGAAACAAAATTTTTATAAGATATACTGGTTGTTGAACATGGACATGAAAGAGTTTCGTTATATTTAGAGTAAAGTTCATTGAATTTGACAGGTGTAATATTAGAGACAGTAACTGTTGAAGATCCTATCTGCATCATAGTAGCGTAGAAAATAATATATAGAGACACTGAAATAAATAAGAAAAATTATGCAACTACTTATATTTGATGTAGTTAGAAATTTTGAGGATGTGGGAGCGATCTCCAACTGATATCCACACCCACCCTCAAACGAAAAACGAGTATATGACTTACCCACGAGTAGAAGAACGTATAGCCAAGTTTTATATTTTTGGTGTTTAAGAACAATTGCTGGATCTTGTGGCTCATCATCGTCTTCATACTCATCTTCTTCTAGCATAAAGAGATTATAATCGAATACTTTTTGAATAAGCCAATGAAATAAAGACTTGAGATTCATTCTTCAAAGAATCAACTTTTTGAAGAGTGTAATATTTGTTTTTGATTACTTCAAAAGTCACAAGAATAGTTTACTGTAAAAATGAAAATTTATTATGCAAAGCCGTTATCAACGAATAGGTAGCAAAATAAAGAAATAACTAAAAATATTTTTAAGATTAACCAAGAGCAGGTATTCTCAAACAGTGAAATACATGTTGGGTGTGGGTATTATTGAGCGTGGCTGCGGGTGAGCGTGGGTGTGGTTATTGTATTTATCTTATACTCACACCCATACCCTCAAGATGTACATGTATATGAATCTGGAAAACTGTCAATATATTCAGATTAGTACACTTAAAAACGATCGACCAAACATCATGAAACCCTTAAGACTGCGAATATTGTCTGAAGGTGAAAAACTTGACAAATCTAGCAATATCATTCCACTGACATGTCACAGAAAATCTTCGGATGGCTCGACGATATACAGGAATGGTACGATGCTATATTCCACAGATATCTAACTAAAAATGCAAGTTCCGATAAAAATGATGTTGAGCAGTAGAAAATGAACTGTTGTGTCTTCACTATCAAAACAACTTTATTAAAGTTGATTGATATTTTATTTCATATACTGGGATCTTGTAGCGCTGATGTGGAAAGCCTTAATATGTGTTCACGAATTACATTTCGTTTATGATTACATTATTGCATTGAATTTTAACTAAATACTCACAGAAATGAATCGAAGAATACTGTTGAAATATGAGAAACAACACGATCAACACTGAATTTGAATAGAATGAGCATTCTCTTGAACACTCATATAACTTATTTTTTATTTTAATAAATCAAAAAAAAAGTTTACGTGACTACATGATATTTTTGATTGTTTGGTAATAAATGATGATGGATGGTGAACTTGTTTTTAATTCTGGCATGCATATTATTATTACGATGTTTTCATATAGAAATTTGTTCGAGAAGTACACTTTTAAAGTGAAGATAGGAAAAGATCTAAAGGGTGGGCGAGGGCGAGGTGCGTAAGAGGTGTTCTCGGTCTAACACATCCACGCCCTCGGCCTTATCTCATTCACACCAACACCCTAATTTTTCCATACTATTCTTTCTAGAACATTGAGAATCACGCTTTTTACCATATTTACTTTGCTCATGATGAAAAAGAGCAGTATGCAACAAAATCTGTATCATTTGTTGTTGCAACATTTTGCTCTTCTTAACGAATATTAAACGTTGATTTGATAGTAATGTGTACATGCCTTATATAATGCCTTTTTCTACTGCATGCCGATTAATAAGCATATGCCACTCTCTGCTTCTTCTATATTTTCTTACAGGTAATCTTATTGCGATTTATTTCTCATTCTGGGTGTGGATATTAATGTGATACAAATATTATATCCATGCTCACACCCACATCCACCCTCAATTCAAAATGAAATAATATCAATTGATTAAACATCTTTTATTTATTTGAGAATTTGACATTGAATATTCAAATCATTTCAAATAATAAAACATTACAACTTGTTTAATTTTATATATTTTAACAAATTGATTCAATTACAAATTATTTCTTTACTAATATAATAGATCTCATTTAGACATCATTTACGTTTACTATTGATAAAAAATACCAAAGATTTCTTATTTCTTTCAAAATACATTTCATATTGTTCATCAGATGAACCGAATAGGAATAAAATCAATATATCTGTGATAAGTGTAGATTAACAAAAAAATGGTTGATTCAACATGATTCCAAAGATTCTACGACCTCGAAGCAGGTGTGTTCTCCTTGGCGATTTCACTTCTTTCAATTCATTGTTTTGGGTGAATGTGAGTTTCTTTTCTTTACCGACATTCATCCTCAAGATAGTTTCCACGAATTCTAAAAAAGATTTCTCTTTTGTCTTCCTACTATTGAATTCGTTATAAAATGCATCTATGGTCAGCGTACATCGGATCCAAGCGTTTATATTCTGTTGGCCTGGTTCACGATTAACTTCGATCTCAAATGCAGTTATTTTTAGTTAAATGGATAAAGAGAAATAAATACGAGACGAAAGAAAGACTTTCATACATGATTATGATCATTTCATATGTAACAAAATAGGCGTATTTAAAATAAGTTACCAAATATGCGACAATAATCGAATGAAAATCTGACTAAACCTTATAATATATCCAATAATTATTCATATAGTCGAAGAAATATCAGAACAAGTGCCGAAATATTCAATACTAACTCAGCTCATTAAATAGTTCTCCAATTCCGTGTTTTAATATTGAACGCCATCCGGAATTTAAACGATTTGATCCTCATTCAAACTGAAATTCAAATTTGCTGCATGTCTAATCTACACTCCCTGCGCTTTGAAAGTAATAGGTGCAATACGAATCGCGGAAGGTGTGGGTTCGAGTCAAGGGTGCCACATTCCCCTTACTATTACTAGTAAGTGGTTACTGTTACCAGGTAAGTGGTGGGTGATCATTATTATCACTCCGTAATCAACAATTAATAGTAAAACCAGTGACTAATCACTGTTAAATATGATATTTTCAATTATGAAAACACTTACTGTTACCTTGGTAAGTGGAAGTGATAGTAACAGGTAATATGACACCCCTGGTTCGAGTTCTACGAAGAGTATTTTTTTCTCGATCCGCACATGTTTTTCTTTCCTTTTCTTCCTATATAAAGATTTGTTTTTATCTTGTGCAAGGGAGGAAGAAATCCATACGATAATGATTAATTTTATCATCAGTTGGAAAGTAAACAAGTAATTTTTTCCAACTTACATTATTCATTTTATTTGCCACTCATTCGACTTGCGTACAATCCAGGGAGCAGGTATCTTCTACATTTCGCCGAGAGAAACCATTAAGGACACATACATAAAAAAGGCACAATAGTAACTGCTTTTCTATCAACCTGAGTCACTACGTATGATTTGCTTCATCCTCTTGTCTTTTCGAGAGTATGAGTCAGGGAGCAGGTGTATTTCCTCCTTTTACTCTTAATAATTGAAATGATCCGAGTTGAAAATAGAATCGAATTTTGATGAACAAACATTTAGTCTTCCTATCAAACTTGATAATATAATTATATGTGACCTTTATATCTAATTTATTTGTTTCTACTTCAAATAAAAAACGATTACTGATTCTTTTCTCGTTCTGATCATCACCCTCTACTTATTTTTAACATCTGGTTAACATATTACTTCGTTTATTTTCGTACGCATTGATATTGAGAAGACTGAGAGAATAGAAAACGGACGAAAAGAGAAAAAAAACATTCTTTTTAATTTTCTCTTCTCATTTAAGTTGTAGGTCTAGAATGTGAGTTCAGAGAAGATAGGCGTTCACAGCACACCCACTGTTAGCTCGCATATATACAGAGCTGTAGACAAACAGATGTCCGAACCAGTTAGAGTAGAAGGAACATCTAATTTTTGTTAAGCATCAGCGTGTATCATCACTGACGCTAACACCTACCCATCCCACACCTTAAATGATTTGAAACTGTTTAATATTTTTCTTAGTTTATGTTAAAGTGAAAAAATTCTTATGACTTCAAGTGGTTTAATTGAACGGCAAGCAATTGGGCGTTCTGGAAACATAGGTTCACTGTATGATATTCGTACAGATCAATTCGTAATGGGAAATTTATTTAATAACGTATTACCGGACTCATTTATAAAACGTTGTGATTGTGCTAATGTAAGCTATTGGCTTGATTTTCATAGTTCACAAAAAGAAACATTCAATAATTTAAATCTTGAAGCTAATTTAAAATTAGCTTTAATGGTAGGATTAATGAAAGTCGAAGGATCAACAAAATATTTAAAACAAACAAAAACAAATAGTCATACTGTTCGAGCTACGTTTATATATAAAGCAAAAACAAAACAAGAAGATCTACAAGTATCAACAAAAGGTTTACATGAATATTTTTCTTCGCATGCATTTGAAAATCCGGATGCAACACATGTCGTTATTGGAATTAAATGGGGAGCTAATGTAGCCGCAACATTTGAACGAATAGTGGACAAACATGATGATGTAAAACGAATTGAAGGTACATTGACAGCAACCTTTGCAAAGCCTACATTTGGTATTAGTGGAGATGTAAATTTAAAATATAATAAGGAACAAAAAGCGGATCTTGAATCATTAAGAATAAGCTTTTCTGGCGATGTATTAATTGAAAATTGCCCACGTACGATTGATGGAGTCATGGAAGTTTACCAAAAAGTACCATCAATGATTAGATCATTGAATGATGGGAAAGGACAACAACTCACATTTATTCTGTGTTCTTTAAAACAAATCTCAGACATAACTAAGTTTGAACGAAAAATTACCAGGTTAGTCGAACAAATTTTCTCAAATGTATTGTTGTATTCAACTTGTTTCTTTTTTATTAGAATGGTAAAAGAAGTATCGGAACAAATTGTTAATCGAATTGAGAATATTTTTGAACAAATGAATGATGAACAAAGAAAATTGAATGATTTTTTAGATGAGATTAATCCATGGAAAGAATTTCTTCCTCGTCAATGGTTTGATTTAGTCAAAAAAAAATTATCAAATTTTAATGAAGAACAATTAAAATTAAAACGTGATTTATCAAGTTTATTAGTTGCTATTCGTAGTAATTCAGCTGAAGAATCAAAAATGATTGAACTTATTGATAATTTTAGTAAACATCCATGTTCACCTGAATCAATTGAAAAATTTTTTTATGAAAAAGAAAATATAAAAACGAAAATAAAAACATTAAGAAGAAGTAGCCCGGATAAAACAGAATTAGTTACAAATATCACCTCAATTGAAGATTTTATACAAGATTTTTATGATAATGATGTTTATTTATTACATATATGTGAAAAATGGCAACAGGAAGATGAAGAAAATTCATTAAAACAAATGAGATATTTTATTAATTTAAAGAAAAATGAACAAGACACACAAAATAATAAAGCCAAATTTTGGGTTATTGATTATGATTTACATTCACGTTTAGAAAACAAGCCGACTAATTCTGTTATTTATTATGCAACAAGAGCAACAATAAAATCAAAAGATTTCTATAAGGAATCACGGAGTAAGTTTATTATTTATCAAATAGCAAAATATATTTCATTACTTTTTTGTGAATAAATTCGAATGTTTAAAATATTCGTTGTTAGATTAGCACCAATATAACTTAAATTCATTTAGGCAAACTTTCGCGAAAACAAATTGATCTAATTTTGACCGAAAATTCCATGTTGACAGAACAACGTCTTAAAGATTGGCATCAACAATTTATGAATGATTAGTAAGTACACTAGTAATTTCAATTTTTCTTCATTATCTACAATCCTTTTATATTAAGTTCCGATGGTGAACTGAATGAAGAAAATTTTGTTTGCGAATTAGGGAAACTTTTTCCAAAGTAAGTTTATCAGTTGATGTGAGTGAAGAGTAATATTTGAAAACATTCATATTTCACTTTTAGAGGTGATCCGATAAACTTTCGTGATTTTGCATTTCAAGTAATTGATAAGGATAAAAGTGGCACAGTAAACTTTCCAGAGTTTATGACTGCCATTGCTATTACACATCCAGGCGATTTAATAAAACGACTTCATCTGGTTTGCGATAGAACTTTTTTATTCGGATAAATATCAATATTATATTTGCATTTAGGTATTTTCTGTTTGTGATTATGATTGTTCCAGAGAAATTGGTGCTAGAAAAATAATTAAGTTTATTGAAGCTGTAGCAGAACTTAATAATGGTCCATCAACAGTCAATACAAATGAAGCAAAACACATTGCTGGACAAATTATGAAAATCTGTCGTAAAAATAAAGACGATATGGTGACAGAGGAAGAATTTATCCGATGGTTAGTTTTCGAAAAATATTCATATATCTTCAGAATCAAATTATATCTTTTCTTTATTTAGTTGCAGAGGAAATTCCAAAATTGCTAAGGCTTTTTTACCAGACGTTAAAATAACAGGTAAGTTATTCGCTCAACTAAAAAGATAGAACCTACCATCACAAATAGTAACTAATTTAACAACGTCTCTCTGTCTGAAGTGTGTTGTAAAGCTACTCATCTCGTTGGTACATAATATCTTGAGAGTGGACATGGGTCTGGATGTAGTCAAAAGAGTACTTATCCTTACCCAAATTCACACCCACACCAGTCATTATTTGTCTCAAAAATCAATACTTTCATTTCAACAAAATTCAACTTTTTTTTCATTTTTTTAGAACAAATCAAATGGAAACAAAATGGAAGTATTTGTGTGGGAGGAAATGAACAAGGAACTGAATTAAATCAACTCTATCTTCCTAATGGGATCTCTATTGATCATCACAATAACATTTTCATTGCTGATTGTTTCAATCATCGTATTGTTGAATGGAAATATAATTCGAACGAAGGACAAATCATTGCTGGGGGAAATGGACAGGGAAATGGAAATGATCAGTTGAAGTCTCCAACAGATGTTCTTGTTGATAAACAAAATGATTCTTTTATCATTTCTGATTTTGAGAATCGACGAGTAATCCGGTGTTTCCGCCAAAACGAAAGAAAACAAGAAATTCTCATTTCTGATATTCGTTGTGTTGGTCTGTCAATGGATAAAAATGGATTTATTTATGTTTCTGATGCTGAGAAAGATGAAGTAAGACGATGGAAAGAAGGAGATGAAAGAGGAACAATTGTCGCAGGCGGAAATGGAAATGGGAATCATCTCAATCAACTCGAAGGACCTAATTTTATCTTTGTTGACGAAGATGATTCTCTTTATGTATCAGATTTTTTTAATCATCGTGTGATGAAATGGAGAAAAGATGCAAAAGAAGGAATTGTTGTTGCTGGTGGAAATGGTCCAGGAGATAGTCTCAACCAATTGTTTCATCCTCAGGGAGTAATTGTTGATCATTTGGGTCAAATCTATGTGGCAGATTGTTTTAATCATCGAGTAGTGCGTTGGTGTGAAGGAAAAGAAGAAGGTGAAGTTGTTGTTGGTGGGAATGATGACGGAAAAGAATTAAATCAATTAAATGGTCCCAAAGGTTTATCATTTGATGATGAAGAGAATCTTTATGTTGTTGATAATGGGAATCATCGAATATTAAAATTTGAAAAATGTTTTTAATTAAAATATTTTCCTTTTGATTAAATGAAATTTATGTAAATAAAAATCAAGTAGAATTTTTGATTAAATGATGTTTCTATTATTTGCAAAATAAATTAAATTTTTGATGAAAAAAATAAAAATAATTGGAATTTGCGAATATCTTGAGGGTGTGAGTATGAGTCTGGGTGGATCTGGGTGTGGGTGTGAGAAAAGAAGAGACACCCACACCCACACCCGATTTCTACCAAGATATTTTCTTTAAAAGTTTCTCGCAAAAATCCCTTGTAAATTTGATAAAGATTAATACAACGGTAAAAAAAACTCCAAATCATTACTCGTCGTCTGTTCTTTTTCATTTTCTATAGTAATTTCTAAGAATGTTTTAATGAATGAAATTACAAGATGAATATCTAATAGATAATTATATGTATCACGAGGATTTAACTCATTTTCTAAGTTTAATAATATTTGAGAATCATCTTTAAAAAAATCTAATGCATAACTATTCATATAATATGCTATAGTGTACAGTCATAACAATCAAGATCATAGACAAGATTTCATGAGTCAATAACTGGACTGTAATTTGACGCAATATATTGTGAAAAAATGAATCTATAAATACTCAACAAGAAGCAACTTATTGGGGTTTTTCCAACTAAATAATTCAGTAAAAAAAAGAGAAAATAAAAAACTTGAGCGCGGCGGGGGCTTGTAAGTGAACAAGTAAGATATTTGTTCGCTACGTCTATCACATATGTGTCACTTGGTATTTTCCTTCTTTTCTACTCTCTTCCTTCTTATGTCACATATACTTGAATTTTTCCATTCCTGTCTATCATATGCGTTTAATCTTTTCCTTTCGTTCTCTATGTGTCATCTTTTCATCTGCATCCTATCTAATGGGATTTTCCCGCTCGTTCAACCACGATCATCCGTTGGATTTTTCCTAAAGATGAATAATGCCCCTCATCCTATATATAGCGGATAACTTTTCATAAATAAAGACAGAGAGTTAGACACTGAACACCAGTCGAGAAGACTGTAACACCAGTAAAATGAACTATGTGTAATTATTTTTTTTATTTTTCTTTGTTTCGTTCACCCAGACATACCTTTTAATTGCTCGTTTACTAAAAAGCAAAATTATAAATATCTGAGGGGAAGAAGCTTTGCTTTTTCACAAATAAGGTAAGTGACACTGTCGTATTTTTCTTCTGGTTTCGAGAGAAAGTTTCCTATTTTTTCTTCTAATTTTGTAAAAAAACGTTTGCTAATCAACTCCTGTTCTTTAACGAAAAAACCCTGATTAATACTCAACAAAAAGCAGCTCACTAGACTTTTTCCAACTAAATAATCCAGTAAAACAAAGAGAAAACAAATAGCTAGAACGCGAGCTGACAGCAAAGAGCAGAAAAAAGTCAATGATTCACATCGTTCCTATCAAGATTTTTTAAGATGAGCAGCATAGACTAAAGACACAAGATAATAAAAAATACTTTTCTTTGTTTTCTATCGGCTCAGAAATATTCATTGTTTTTCTTTGTATTGCTTCATTATATGAAAAAAGTAACGACATATTAAAACTAGTATGCAGAAAAAGGTTTCAATAAAGGGGTATATATGTCTTTTTTTACTAAGTGAACCTGTTTTAGGTATAAGATAGGTTTGATATACTCGTTTACGACATAAGAGATCTTCTAGATCGTTCACATAGTTATATAAAAGGATTTATGAAAGTGCAACGTATAATACATCGTTTACGAATCTCTTATTCTTCACATTTTTTATAATGTATCAATGATTTAAAAATTCAGAAGAATAGCAGACGAGCAGAAATCCTTCTAGAATGATCTATTCTTAATATAACCTATTTATTAAGGAGTATTTCATCTTAAACTCAAAGTTGTATCTCAAGAGATTTCTCTCTCAGGATGCTCTATACAGCTGTTATTAAGAGTGTCTCTGGATAGCCCTTTGAAAGTTAATATTGCTACTCATCAATAGCTTTTTACATGAGAAAAATGGTAAAATGTTTATTATGGACACCATTTTGGCTGACGCCAACTTTCGTTCACTTCATACGACCGGAATCTATATCATTTTGAAGTTTAAGTCAATTTATCTTTTTCTATAATTATATCAATAGTCATCAACAATCTGAGAAGGCAAAAGAGTTTTTTTGTCGATTTTAGATTGTAAAAATATTCAAGTTTGACTAGAATAACAATTGTGGACATGAGTAACACAGTTGCACCTAATGAAGTAATGTATTAAATAGAAAGAAAATTATTTTATGTTATTTTATTTTTGAATATTTTAGCCGGCAGTAATTAACCGTGCTCGAACACCATTAAGAAGATTGTATGTATATATTGTAAATAAAAATAAATTATCAAAAAAATCTATTATTCTAGATACGAACATTTTCGAAAGCGGAAACTAATTTGGACAATATTCCTTATTATTTGTATTATTGTAGTTATAGTTGCTGTAACAACTCCTGTTTTATTGAACAAAACTAAAAGAGAAACAACAACAACAACAACAACGACATCATCAACAACAACAACGACATCATCAACAACAACAACAACATCATCAACAACAACATCAACTACAACAACAACAACGACATCATCAACAACTACAACTACAACAACAACAACTACAACCACAACAACAGCAACTGCAAGGGGTATGGTTTTTTTCAAACTAATGAATTCTAGGATTGCGCCTGTGCGACTTTTGCCGATACGTCTCCTGGAATTTTGCCAATTGGTGAAAGTACAGTAGACTTTTGCCAATTTTGCTGTAAATTAAATGTAGACTAAAAATCTTTTATTAGTTGCATTGATGAGTGTAAGCTATCATATGCCTATACTAATAGCATTATTGTGAGCTCTAACATATATCCTTTATTAATATTGTTTCATAACAACTGGCAAAATCCACTGTACTTTTACCACTGGCGAGTGTTCTGTTGACGATAGGTTTATTAGCGAACGTTTCGCCATCCAAACTACTTAGTTTCTTAATTGAAAGAATTCATAAAAGAGAAATTATTGTTAGGATTAGTTTTTCTTTTTCAATCTTCGATATTTTATTCGAATAATGACATAAAATAGTTTAATCGTGCATAATCGAAAGTCATACATCCTACTTTCTACAGAATAATCTGAGTATGTGTGTGTGTGCGTGGGTGCGATGTGGAAAGACGATCAGTACCCACATCGTTGGAATTGATAGAGTATATAATTATGTACTTCATGTACTTCACAAAATCTAAGGTTCGTAAGCCAGTACATGATTTCATTTCAGTACATATATTCTTATAGATCAATTTCAAAAAACCGTATAAAACTAAGTACATTTTGTACTCGTACTCACGCAGCCCTCTTTTCTGTTGCTGATGTTGTTCTAATAAGATTAATTTATAGTTATGTTCAATGTAGCATAAGAAACATTATTGACCATTAGTGTAAATTTCTTTCGAGCATAGTTTATAAACTTCATCGAGAATCGAAAAACACACGAATCAGTGTAATTATCACAGCAGTCAATTTGAGACAAACATCTTTTATATACTTGATTGAGATAAGAGTGAAAACGGAAAATATAGAAAAATAAAGATATGTGAAGAGATTTTGTGCAATAGATTTGAATACTGCTCTCGGTATACATAAGCTTCAGGTGATATGAAACAGACATATGAAAGACTGTCGTTATAATAATAAAAAATACTGTGCATAAGAGTATTAAATGTTGAGTGTTTCATTGTCTAATGTTGTATAGTCTAAATACATAAAAATGTAATTTCTAGGATGGTTTTCTACTGGTAACATGAATAATGCACGAGGTGGTCACACAGCATCTGTATTATCAAATGG